CAAAAATACTTTTATATCTATAAACCAGCTTTACCTGTAACTGCAGTCAAATGCATAATTTTTTCGCAAGCACAAACACACATATATAAAAACTATGTCTTCATAAGCTTCTTCACCCACTTCACCCGCCTCAATAATGGAAGAAATTTTTTCTCGAATAATGTCAGACGTGGTTAAAGATTTTAATACAGACGAGCTTATCGATTATTTGAGGAGGAAGGACTTGAAACTCAATGAGAATGATATTAAAATTCTTCGTAAAAAGAAAATATCTGGTCTTACCTTTCTTGACACAACTAAAGAGAAGTTTTGAAGTTATGGCTTGAAGGCTGGTCCCGCAACAACACTTGCAAAATTTATCGAAGGCCTCAGTCAGAAGCTATGAAATTATTTCTCACTTAAAACTCTCGATGATTTAAAAGAAATGTTACGTAGAAATGGGGTAAATGAGGAAGATATAACAAACATCAAGCAGTTTACTCCTGGTAGGTAATTAATTAATTTTCAAACTGACTAGATAGCCATATTAACTTTACTTTCTCTGTAGTCTTCGAGAAGATTAGTGATAATGATAAAGTATTCGAACACTGTATAGAGGATATTATCTTAAAACTTTTGAACGTGAAAACTATGACCGATACTAACGAGATAACACGCTGTGAATTTATCTCAGCTATATTACATTTATCAATTGCCATCGCCAAAAAACTCATCTCTCAAGATATATTTATAGTGTTGCAGAAGGATATTTCAGGAGAAGATTCAACTGACTGAGTTGACTATGCAATCAAAGCTCTAGAAGACCTCTTATATATCACCAAAGGAAAGCCTCATAATATTAAGATCGGATATGCGCAGGTGCGTTTACTATACAGATCTGTATTTTTTAGAAGATTCAATATTAACACATTTTATTTTTCTTAGAATCTGGCCTAGCTTGAAAGTGCATTTCAGACAAATAAGAAGAAGCAGACTGTAGATCAAGTGTTTGAGAATGACTATTTTGACTATATCTATGGTATTGTGACTATAGGTACAGAGTAGCACTTTATCATATATACTCTGAATGGTATATACTCTACGAGTGGAAGCGAATACCAGATCAATCTTACGAAGTTTGCCATTAAAGAAAACTCTAAATTACTTCAAAGTAACGTAAAAAGGATAATAAGTATTATTTTTAGGCTGTTAAAGGATAGGGTTAGTGTTAATAGTTCCCCAGCTAGCAAGAGGACTAGAATCAAAAAAATTATCAAAAAATAATATGTATCCTGGGCTACGTCCTGAACATTTGTATTTAATTTTCACATGTAGTAATAAAAAATTTTTCTTAGCAAATTTCAGCCAGGGTGCCTTGGTCAAAAACACATATTTTTTTTATTTTGAATGCTTATATATATTGTATTAGTTATATATAAATCATATCATCTGAAATTGAATTATTAAAACAGCGTATCACTGAATTTGAGGCTGAGAATGCTGAAGTTAAGGCTAAATATATCAAGGTTATGGGTGAGAATGCAGAGATCAAGGCTGAGAATGCAAAGTTAAGATGCATTTTGAAAGAACATAAAGCTAGGTTCACAAGATTAAAGCAGAGAGATAAAGGAAAGACCAATCTTATTGCCAAAATGGATAATGATATCAAGGAAATCAAATAATCATCGGCCAATGCCAGCTCTATTGAGAACTCCAACAATGTTGTTTGTCTGAGTAAACTAGAAAAGATGGCAAATCTATTAAATACATCTAATATCATATTTAATTCTAATATATGCAAATCTATTCGCACAGAAACTAAGTCATTGAAGGATAAAGAGACGAATGATTTCTTGGATAAGATACATAAGAAAAGGGTTAGTGATGAGATAAGGCAACGTAATAAAGAGAAGAAAATTCAGTGTGAGTCAACTGTTCCTTCCGACTTATCATGTGTTACAGAAACTTCTCTAAGAAATCATGATAAAAATGAAAGTAATACAAAAACTGTGAACATTGTTCACAATCAAAATAGATTTCATTAGAAGACTTTGTGCAAAAAATATCTGAAAGACTTAATGAGGATGTTTCCCAGAGAGAATCGGATTCAGACTTAATAACTGAAATTGTACGAGATTTATTATAAGGATTTCTTGTGGATGATTTCCAAAAGGAATTTATTAATACTGAATTTATTGATAGAGAGCATTCTAATTCTTCATTTGTCATAGATGAGCTTGCCTGTTTATTTCATCAAGCGAGTATAGCAAAGAAAAATTCAATCAAAGCTAAGCAGGAAGAGATTTCATCTTGGGGTCGCTACTCTGAAAGATTTGAAGATAAGGTCATAAAGCTAATGAAACCATACCTTTCAGGTGTTTCTGATGAATATTTGCGTAAGATAACAAGCAAAGCAAGAAAGATCAATAAGCTATTTGGATATGATTACAATCCTATAACTCTGAAAAAGATTAAAGGTATAGGATAGCATATAGTTAATCGGGTTACCTATAGTGCTGACAGTATTTCTAGGCTCACTAACCTTCAAATTCAATACATTATAGATCGAGTGAACTTAACTGTCACCAATAAAACTGTGAACATGTTCACGATCAGAGTCATGTGACTTCGAAAATGATAATTAGTGATACAACTGCTCTGATCACACTGCTGAGCATGGGTCGTATAACTAGCGAAAATCGTAAATGCATCTCAAACCATACCAGCTGAAGTACCAGCGTTCTCTCAGCCAATGCTTCACCAGAAATGATTTCATCAGACATATTTCAAGCAAGTGTATTATCTGCATCCCAATCTAAGCCAGCTTATGATCATTCCTATTTTCGCAACAAAATATTGGATCAATATCCTAATCTATATAGAGAATGTAATAGTGAAAATTTTGATTATTATGGGATTACTGATGAGACATCATGCAGGGACTATATCTGCCCATTATGCAAATTAGGTCATGATGATGAAGAAATAGAAGGTAGGTATAAAGTAGAATCTTATTTTATTAAATGTGAACAGCATGAAATTGAGATAGTTGCATAGTCTCATCGCTTTACAATAGTTGAGGAATTTTAATCTTTTTTTTCGTATGAATAGTCTATATGAGAAAAAGGAATTTGAATTGTCTGCAATCATATAAAAAGGAAAATGACTGAGTCTGTTAAAATACTAACCGCTGATTATCTAGATTGGCATGCCAAATTAACTGGATTACCAAGTATTTTGACAGATAAGATTCGTTTCAAATTATACAAAAGATATAAAAAAGAAACTAGGCATGAGCCATGGCAATTATCAGAAGCTGTGATAAGTATATCAGAAAAACCTCAAGCCTCTGATTTTAAGCCTATCGCCTTCGAAGCCAAACCTGATCCAGAATTAATTATCAAATCCGTCTTAGAGCATTTCACATACTTGAAATTCCAAAATAGCTATAGGGGAATCGATAATTATAATTTTGCATCACTTCAGCCGTGGAGCTCACCATGCTCTATTTGCAATGGAAAACATGGGAATTATGGATTACATGGTGAATGGTATTGTGAAAATGGGAATCAGCTCCCTTATGATCCTGAATTAGCGAAGTTCTATTTTCAAGATAAGTTGGAATATTGTCTTATTTGCAACACTTCAAGCAATAAACTAAAGTTCGCAATTGTACTGTAGCATAGGATGAAAACAGATCATGTGAAATCAATCACCCGAAAAAATGCACTGCCGAAATAATAGGACTGTGCAAATTCCAAGGTAAATGAAATTTTGGTCATATGAGAATTTTTTTTTATTATATTAATATTTATTTTCCGGTACCACTGTATATAAATTTTGTTTAAGTAATAAAACGTCGAAATCGGCTATAATTTCAAATGATCGGTAAATGATCGGCAAGAGGTCGGCAAATACATTTTCTTCTATAAATAAAACCTTAGAAAATATTGATATTTAAAGTTTTAGTAGAGTAACAAATGAAATAACAGATATATATTTTTTATATTATAATAAACTGTTACCTTTGAAGTAAGGACAATGTAATGTGAAAAACGTGATTAATAAATATGTGGCAAATAGGATTTTATCCTATCCCCAGAATACTTATGAAACATATCGACAATCAGATGATTATGCCGATATTTTAATTACGATATACGATTTTTTGCTTTTTGTTAGAATCATTTAACAATTTATTACATAATATACAATCTTTATTCGCTAAAGTACCAAAAGCATCAAATTATCTGTAAAATGCTTGTAATTCTATTCACGGACTTTGTAATATTTTAAAGCTAAAAAGTATTTAACTTATATTAGTAACTACTGTTATGTTTGCGAAATTGTTAGTTTACCCTAACTTGAAAGTTAGATGGGTTTGAAGTTGATGATTATTATTAAATTTGAGTTAAAGTATCTTTGATCTTCTGACTAACGATCATGTAGTGCAGTTTTTGATTTGGCTGGTGAATTAATTAGATAAAAGCATATAGTAGGATGCGCGGAAATGAAAATATTTTTTCCATCGATCAATTTTTTATCATGTAATGTGCGAATTCATTTAAGGACGGACATTTAGAATGCCAATCGGCATTTGACTTCCCTTTTAACTTAACCTATTAAGGTTAAATTTTAATTGGTGATTCGTAAAAATTTTAATTTGATTTCATCTTACATAATGCTCAATCCTAAATTTTCCTTTAAGATTTTCAACTCACAATTTGGGTTATTTTAAAAATTACTTTTCGGGAATATATATAAAATAAGGATCTAACATTTCGGAATTCTCGTTATATGTATTATTTTCATTTCCTTTTAACCATCAAAACCATTCAATAAGATTTCGTCGTTTAAATATGGTCCGCCTTTTAAACAATTTCACTCGTTTATGTAAAACAATAGAAGGAGGAGAAATTTGTTCATGTGATTATCGTATAAACCTATATGATTGTCCACATAGTGAATTTTATATTTTAGGTGGAAAGATACTGATACCAATATGTATACTGGTAACAATAATGTCTGGAGGATTTTTATTTTACCTTATTAAAGTTAAGAAGCAACCGTTCTTCTTGATTGCCACCAAAGATAGAGGATGGTTGAGGCCTAAACCTTTACATACTTATCACTTGATAGTGTTTACTTATATGTTTTGTAAGTATACTTTGATGGCAGGATATTTATTTTCACCTTGGAACAAAAATCTAATATGCGATTAAATTGAAATTTTAGTCGAAGGACTTCATTTGATATTTTTGGTAAATGAATTATATCCTAATATGATAGCGGCTGAAGGTGAGTAAAATCTTTTCTTTTTTTTTTTCTTTGAAGTTCGTGTAACATGCGTTTAAAGAAAATAATTCAACCCTTTCACCATAGTTGGCAATATTATGGCAGATTCCATTTCAGCAGCCTCGGCCGCATTTTATCCCGTTAGTATAGGTAATTTTTTTGTTTTACAATTAAATTTTATCATTCAAATAATTTATTAATATTAAAACTTGTTTTATAGTTTATTCTACACCAAACATACAACCTGATAAGCAACATGAAAATTCGTACTTCAGAAATTTTAATTATGTTGGACCAAACGCACGTTTAGTTGACATTGTTGGAATTATATTATTTTTTGTACCATTATTCACGTTATTACCTTTTGCTTCACTAGCAGGATATTACGCTGAAATGAATGATATTAAAATGGAAAATGTTTTTTATACTGCACATTACTTTGCTTGGGTAGCTTGGGAAATTATATATATTACGGTATTATCATTTTACTGGTACAGGTTAACATTTATAATCAAAGATCATATTAAAGTATTATTATTAGAAAATGATAATAACAATCAGGTCAAAAAGTTCAAACGAGGCACCAGAAATGTAAGTTTATACATAAAATATTTCATAAAATTATTTCTTTTTTTAAAATAAAATAAATAAATGATTCTTTTATTTAGTTAACTATACCGGTTTTAGCGATAGTTTTTGGATTATTGCTTCAGGCGATTATATATGTCGTTATGAGTTTAACGCATCGTAGCAATACAGTTTATTATTTTGGATGGAATTTATTTTATTATTGGATCGGATATGTTACTTTCCCATTACTGGGGTTCGGCATTGAATGTTGCTTGCTTTACTAGTAGGTATTCATATAAATAAAATTATCCTTATTTTTTTTTTTGTTAACTAATTTGATTTTCTTTAAAAAAAAAAAAAATAGTACAATAATGAACTTAAAAAAGCAAGAAACGACAGGCTCTGTTGGGTTTTCGTCACCATCTTCCTCACAAGGTCAATTAAACACGATAACAACTGTCAACATGGAAAGTCAAAAAGATAGTAAAACTTTATGTTGTTTACCAATTAAGAACTTTGGTATTACAACAAATAAACCTACCATAACAGTTATTCATTGCAGTTCTGAAACTATTACTATCGTCGAAAATAATAATGAACAAAGTAATACCTTAAATTGAAAAAATTGTTTGTTTGTTGACAAATTCAACATTATCAAAATATTGTAGCATTTTTTTTTTTTTTTTTTTATCCCCCATCATTATTTTTGACGTCTTAGAGAAAAATTAAATTAATGTAATTAGAGGTTGAAACTATATCCGGTTACTTCGGTCCAACCGAATTTATTCATTTGATCTAACCGGATTGTAAGAATATGTTTTTATTGGTTCCAGCAAGGTTTTGTTCATAAAAGGTAAAAATAGTTTCAATATGAATATGCACACAGCATCATCCAAATAAATTCGAGAAATTTGTATAAACTTTGAAAAAAAAAAATTAAAGTTCGGTCGATTAAATTCACAATATACTTAAAATGGTTTCTTTTTACTTTTATTTTTTAAATCCAAATGATCAAATGATAACCATGCATTAATTATACAAAGTTTCAGATCAATATTTTTATTTTCTAGCTTCGATCGGATTGAGCCAATTTTGCATAAGCGTTTAAATTATTGCATTTGCCCTATCATAACACTGTAAATCTGAATAGGTTTATAATCAACCATTTTATATAAAACTATAAATTCATTATACATAAATAGTTTGCTGAAATTTCGGCTACATGGTCCGAAGAAGTAGAACTTTGAAGAGGAAAAGTCTCAAAATTATATCTCGTCTGATTCATCCGAAAGAATATTATTTTGAATGCCATCAGCTATTACTTGAGTAATATTCTCGGTTCCTTTTTCCTTGTGTGGTTTATATCTTTTTCATTTTGATTTAAATACTTTTTCACAGTTTTGGATTCAGACATGTCAGTATCATTGTTTCGCAATAATTTTTCGGACGAAATTATCAGAAATTGGACGTGTCTGCATGTTTGATACTTCGGTGGAGTTGAGTTGCTAAGTAATCCTTGAAGTTTCTTTTACCTGATCCTCTTTATCATCATATCACTAACCTTTTTCTTACTTTGCATATCCAAGAAATCAATCATCTCCTTATCCTCTAATGATTTAGGCTCTGTGCGGACAGGTGAGGCATAACATCGAGTCAAAGATACATCAGAATTTGAAGCATTATCAGATATATTAGATGCTGGGGCATCCTCACTTCGTACGATTATCTGTTCGGGAACACTATTAGAATTCACTGGATACTGCGAAACACTAGTAAAATCTTTTTTTTTTTATCCCTCTGTTCCAGATTCGTGATTCTGGTTTCATGTTCTTCTAAAGCTTACTTTAACTTTGCATTATCAGCTTTAATCTCATTATTTTCGGACTTAACTTTCACATTCTCAGTTTTAAGTTCGATATTCTCAGCCTCAACCTCAGCAAACTTCTTTCTAAGTTTAATTCCTTCAATTTATCAATTGCGGATTTGCATGTTTAATAATATATTATATATGTTCCGTTATTTATTTACATTTGTAACTGAAAGCAACAAAAATTTCAGCGACGGACCGTCGTCAAAAATCAGATGAGCTCCGCACATCAATTTATTTGTAGTTAATATGTTACAAATGCCATAATTATATGAATTGATTGAATAAAGCAATTAAAAATCTATATCGAATTAATTTCAGACAGAAAACCTTTTATAAACGTGACTATTTATTTCCTCCGGGAACCTTTAAAGGGCTATGAAAAGATGGTCGTGTCATTTCACTGCGCAAGCGCATAGTTCACCTACATGAACTTTATCGCGTTTAGACGGCTTTTGGATATTTATTTTGCAGATTTCGGCTGAGGAAGTCATTATATTCTTTGATAAAAAGACAAAAATTAGATTATAGAAAAAATTTATAATATCCATAAATTATATACTAACTTTTGTTTGCATTAAGCGTTCGATTGAAGTGGCAAGTACGCCAATATCGGAACTATCTCGAGGGAGATAAAACTTTCCCAAAAGAATCATTCTGTATATAGCCTCATATTTTAAATCCATGACATATATACGGCATTGAAAACCTAGTCACAGAAAAATAGAAAATGCAAATTAAATTATCGACCTTGATGCCATTTTAGAAATATCAATGTAAATAACTTGCCTTCTACCAATAAACCGCAAATGGTCAAATTTCTATCTCCGACTCCATCATCGATACATTTATCCAAAATATCTTTCATCTCGTTGCCCAATTTAACGAGATCACAGTCTTCCAAAGAATTTTTATTTATTTGATAAAATATAACCGGCGGACTTTACTTCCGAAGTAAGCAGGTAGAATTTATTACCTCTAATAGGTATATACAGTGACTTCCATAATTATTGTACCACTTCGTTTGTAATTTTTAGATTGTAATAAATAAAAATTCGATGATCGAACGATTTGCA